GGATCAGATCAGACAAACAGAAACTGGATCCTCCTGAGCTCGTTAAGCTCTGCCTGCAGAACCGTCCAGTTTCAGATCTATTCAGAACCTGAGGTGGAGCCTCAGGTCCGGTTGGGTCTGACAGGAAGCTGCTTCAGAACGGAAATAAAATAAAACCAGTTCTCATTTCAAAGCTTTATTTTCTGTATTAAAGGTAAACTTCATTCTTTTAATGAGACAGGAAACGAGACGATCTGATTGGCTCTGCTTCTCTGACCCAGGAAACGAGACGATCTGATTGGCTCTGCTTCTCTGACCCAGGAAACGAGACGATCTGATTGGCTCAGATTCGCTGACCCAGGAAACGAGACGATCTGATTGGCTCAGATTCTCTGACCCAGGACCCCGGAGTGTCTCAGGTCTAATTATTGACCTTCAGGACAAACAGGTGAGTGGACGTCAGGACGAACAGCCTCTCGTTGGACGCTCTGAAGCCCAGGATGGACTTGTCCGAGTCCAGGCTGGCCACCTGTTGCTTGGCCACCTGTCCCACCTGACGCGCCTGCTTCCTGTTGACGAGGACCGTGTCCACGGGGGATGGCTGGCAGTAGATGAAGGTGCGGCGGAGACACTCGCACAGCGCCGCGTAGGAGAAGTTGGGAGCGCAGGTGGCAAACTTCTTGTCTCGCTTGGACGCCTGGACGTAACCTGTGAGGGGGACATTAAGGGGGAGGGTCTTAATCCTCGATCACTTCCTGTTGGTGATCCAACAGAACCCGACAGGTCTGTGAGCCTGAAAGTGTGGTGGACTCAGAGGTACCCAAAGCGTTGAAGGTGGCCACGTGTTCCCACAGGTCCTCGGGCCGGTCCGGGCGGGGCTGCCACAGCAGGGCATCCACATCGTGACGGAGACAAAGACACGGCATCTCAGATGGGTCCACCTGGACCGTGAACAGGTACTGATGGCTGCCAAGGTTCACCTGAGGAACCAGAGAGAACCGGATGAGTACTGGATCTGTGACAAACACACAGCAGAACCACAACCAGGGCAGGAGACCAGGAACCTGGACTAGGTCTCTGAACCAACAAAAAAACAACAGGTCAACCCAGAAACCCTTTTACTGTCAGTAGTCTGGGTCCAGGACTGGTTTAGTGTCAGTAGTCTGGATCCAGGACTGGTTTTCTGTCAGTAGTCTGGATCCAGGACTGGTTTTCTGTCAGTAGTCTGGGTCCAGGACTGGTTTTCTGTCAGTAGTCTGGATCCAGGACTGGTTTTCTGTCAGTAGTCTGGATCCAGGACTGGTTTTCTGTCAGTAGTCTGGATCCAGGACTGGTTTTCTGTCAGTAGTCTGG